TCTGGAAACGCCATTGGTTCTCGTGGCTCCATCCTACAGGAGATGAGAAAATTGAGAAATCAGTGCCCCAAGTCCATTTTGTCCACTGCAACACGACATAACTGTGACATAGAAAAAAAAGTCTCCTCCAAGATTCCTCAAGTTGCCTCGCCCTTTCGACTCTAGACTCTAAACAGTGTCCAGCTTGTATTACATGGGTCAAGTGGATGTTGACTCATTCTTAGGACTGCCTTCTCATTCTCGTTCTCATTGAGCAGTGCTCTTCAGATTGTCTGGTTTGATCTTTTTTGCTTGAGCAGTGATCATCTAAACTTCAGACAGCTGAGCCCGCCGGTTTCGAATCAAGGTGTCCGCTTTTGATTTCTGTTCTACTTGAGTGTTACATGTCATGCGTTTATCGTGTTTCAACTGTTTCAACTGTTTCAACATGTTTCAACATGTTTCAACATGTTTCAACATGTTTCAACATGTTTCAACTGCCAAGCGGCCTCGGATTCTGAGTCGGTCTCCCATGTGGAAGGCATCGCTGGAGGATTCGCCCATGCCACGGCACTGCAATTGGCAATTTTAAGTCTGCAATTGTCACATTTGTCACCGATTGTCACCTTGTCTCTGAAAGATGGCAAGTTACTTAAGTTATTTGGCACATGTTTGCAGTGAGCTGGTCTGACTGTCCCCTGTGGCTCGACATGGCTCGACATGGCTCGACATGGCTCGACATGGCTCGACTATCTGGAGAATCTGCAGAGAAGGGGCAGCATGTTTCTATTTTGTTCAGTGGGCATCACCTGAAATGACCTGCCTCTGCAGTTTGGCTGCAGGACTCTGAGGATCAATCTATGCTTGACATGGTGCCTTTGTCACTGATCGGCCATACTCCGCACTGCACACCGGTGCAATCCACTCTCGTCCAGGAGTGGGATATGCGACCTCTGACTATCTCTGACTATCTCTGACTGTACATCTTATAGACACAACCGTTAAAAGGTGAAATCAACACGCTATCGCCCAATAGTGCCCGGATCTGCAAAACATGACCACGACATACCATGACACGCCATGACTACGTGACTAGGTGAACGTATGTGAACCAGTTCAACCAGTGCAGCTGAATCGGATGGCTGCAGAACGATCCAAAACAAAACATATTTCTGATTACTTCTGACTTTATGACTTTACTATACTTTACTGAGCGTTCTTCAAAACAAATTCAAAGGCAGAAACTGGCACTGGTTCTCAGCATTCTCAGGTGTAGGTGGCCGGATCAATGGTTGGGGGAATAGGCTGGATCTCTGTGCCCAGCTCCTTCTCGATGCGGTACAGGTTGAAGCGGTCATCGTATGTGACAAAATTGATGCCCAAGCCCAGGTGACCAAAGCGGCCAGAGCGGCCAATGCGGTGCAGGTAGGTCTCGGAGTTCTTGGGGAAATCGAAATTGATCACCACGTTCACACTCTGAATGTCAATGCCTCTGGTAAAAAGGTCCGAAGAGACCAAACATCTGCAAGCTCCGTTCCGGAAGTCATGGAAAACACGATTCCGGTGAGACTGGTACATGCGCGAATGGATGAAGAAGCATGAGAAGCCAAGCTCTGTAATTTTCTTGGCAAGCAACTCCACGCGCGTCACGGAGTTGCAGAAAATGATTGCCTGATTAATCTGCAACTTGGCAAATAAGGTGTTGAGGCAGTGAACCTTCTGGCGCTCCTCCACAAAAGCATAGTACTGGGACACGCCCTTGAGGGTAAGCTCGTCCATCAAATTGATCTCATGCGCCTCGGCCATAAATCGATTCTTGAAGTCCAAGATGGTCATCGGGAACGTGGCCGAGTACATCAGGATTTGCCTCTCTTGAGGCAGGAACTTGATGAGGTCCTCAATGATAGGCTGGAACTCGGGGCAGAGAAGCTTGTCAGCCTCATCCATGGCAATCATGTGGCACTGCTTCAAGTTGCACACATTCTTGTTGGCAAGGTCGAGAACACGACCTGGGGTAGCCACCACTACATGGACCTCATTGTACAAACGCATAATGTCCTCTCGAAGGCTTGTGCCGCCTGTTGAGACCATGCATTGGACATTCATGTGTTTTCCAATTTCCTTCACCACTGACGACGTCTGCAAGGCCAACTCTCTCGTAGGGACGAGGATGAGACCCTGGATTGCATTCTTGGTTGTGTTGCACTTCTCAAGGATCGGGATCACAAATGCTCCCGTCTTTCCTGTACCGTTCTTTGCTCTGGCCAAGATTGACTTGCCGGCCAGAGCCACCGGCAAGCTCTCTTCCTGAATAGGGGATGGCTTCTCATAGCCCATCTCAAAGATCCCCATCAGCAGCTCACGTTTCCTTGCAAGAAGGGCATCATTGCATCATCAGCATGCCCCTGTGACTAAATCTGACTAAGTCTGACTATACAAGTGACGCACAAACAATTCCTGCTGGGTTAGGCGGTTAGACTTTACCATCTTCATCCATCTTGAACTGTTGCAGCTGAGGTACAGGAAGTAGTCTTCAAAGTCATTGCCCTTTGTGTTCGTGACATCCTCCGTTCTGAATCGCTCGTCTGGAGGTGGGCGGCGGATGTGCGCTTTCCAGTCCTCAGCCCCACCAGATTCCACAATTTGTCATGCTCAACACGACTCAAGCAGACTCAAGCAGACTCAAGACGACTCAAGCAGACTCAAGCAGACTCAAGCAGACTCAGACTCAAGCAGACTCAAGACAACTCAAGCAGACAGCAGACTCAAGCAGACTCAAGCAGACTCAAGCAGACTCAAGCAGACTCAAGCAGACTCAAGCAGACTCAAGCAGACTCAAGCAGACTCAAGCAGACTCAAGACAACTCAAGCAGAAGCAGACTCAAGCAGACTCAAGCAGACTCAAGCAGACTCAAGACAACTCAAGCAGACTCAAGCAGACTCAAGCAGACTCAAGCAGACTCAAGCAGACTCAAGCAGACTCAAGCAGACTCAAGCAGACTCAAGACTCAAGCAGACTCAAGCAGACTCAAGCAGACTCAAGCAGACTCAAGCAGACTCAAGACAACTCAAGCAGACTCAAGCAGACTCAAGCAGACTCAAGCAGACTCAAGCAGACTCAAGCAGACTCAAGCAGACTCAAGCAGACTCAAGCAGACTCAAGCAGACTCAAGCAGACTCAAGCAGACTCAAGCAGACTCAAGCAGACTCAAGCAGACTCAAGCAGACTCAAGCAGACTCAAGCAGACTCAAGCAGACTCAAGCAGACTCAAGCACTTGAGACTGCTCCACACAGACATATCTAGCATGCTCGTGTGCTCGCAAGTTCACGCAAAACTTGATGCCTCTTTGATGTGAGACGCACATTGCACACAAGTCTTCAATGAACCATCGATCTTCCGTAGCATTTGCAGTGGTCTTTCCATATCTTTCCATATCTGCTGATACTTTTCCAAAGTGCAAACAAATAGAATCATACACTATCACACGAATCATACATTTATAAATTAGATATCTTCATGTATCTTCAGAACCGCTTGTACGATGCAGCGAAGCTACATCATCATCAGTCTTTGCTGGTTGCTCAGCCTGAGGAGGCACCTCAGGATTCATCTTGACACGAAGATATTTGAAGCATTTTGAAGCAAATCCATTTCACGAAGCTTCACAAAGTGTATCAAAGTGTGTGTTGCCAACCGAAGATTACGATAATTGAAACACAACGGAAACGGCGAGAGTCCTGCATGTCACTGGACTTGGACTCTCATTTCATCAACTCTCATGGACTCTGATGGACTCTGATGGACTCTCAAAAAATCAGCACTTTGCCAAGGCATGGGCATGCCGCTGTGGAAGCGGTTCGGTATTCACACCTCGGCTCAAGGATCTCAAGGATCTCAAGGAAACGTAAGGAAACAGAGCAGGAAACAACATTTGCAGAGCCAAACAGCCAAGTAAATCACTCCACACTGGCCGCTGTGATCTGCTGTGACATCTAAAAACACACGCCCGACTTCATGTGATTTCATGTATTCTGATTCATGTCATGTGACCCATGTAATACATATGGCTCATGTGACCCGCATGTTTCATGGCTGCTTGCCGTCTTGCCGTCTCGCCGTCTCGCCGTCTCGCCGTCTTGCCATGATTTCCGAAATGCTTGGGAATCATCTGAGGCCAAGTCCGATCTGCGGATACGCTCCTCGGCAAGCTGTTTCCACCGATGGTGCTGCACAAAATTAGATAATGAATGATGTCACACTGCAAGTGACTGGCAGCACAAAAACCCTTCTTTGTCCCAAGGGTCCCATGCCAGCTTTTCCCTTGCCGGTAGGATACCCCATGGCTGAACACAAGACCAAAATCCGGGGTTGATGGCTCAATAGCTCACGGCTGCGGCCAGCAAGGTCAGGCATTCAAGTATTTGACCGGAGCTGTATCACGAAGAGATACAAGGACTCATACAGTATCCATACATCTCTTTCGCGCTCGTGGGAATGAAGAGAATCGCGTGTTCGAATGTCATGGAATGCCTATGGAAAATGCCTATGGATTCAATGAAAACGAGAAAAGCATTGATGAAGGCGCACGGCAAAAAAATAGACGTTGAACATCGTTGAACAGTGATTACAATCACCCCCTGACTGCTTGATCGCCTGACCGCCGGAGACATGCTTGACATGGCGCCTTTGTCACTGATCGGCCATACTCCGCACTGCACACCGGTGCAATCCACTCTCGTCCAGGAGTGGGATATGCGACCTCTGACTATCTCTGACTATCTCTGACTGTACATCTTATAGACACAACCGTTAAAAGGTGAAATCAACACGCTATCGCCCAATAGTGCCCGGATCTGCAAAACATGACCACGACATACCATGACACGCCATGACTTCGTGACTAGGTGAACGTATGTGAACCAGTTCAACCAGTGCAGCTGAATCGGATGGCTGCAGAACGATCCAAAACAAAACATATTTCTGATTACTTCTGACTTTATGACTTTACTATACTTTACTGAGCGTTCTTCAAAACAAATTCAAAGGCAGAAACTGGCACTGGTTCTCAGCATTCTCAGGTGTAGGTGGCCGGATCAATGGTTGGGGGAATAGGCTGGATCTCTGTGCCCAGCTCCTTCTCGATGCGGTACAGGTTGAAGCGGTCATCGTATGTGACAAAATTGATACCCAAGCCCAGGTGACCAAAGCGGCCAGAGCGGCCAATGCGGTGCAGGTAGGTCTCGGAGTTCTTGGGGAAATCGAAATTGATCACCACGTTCACACTCTGAATGTCAATGCCTCTGGTAAAAAGGTCCGAAGAGACCAAACATCTGCAAGCTCCGTTCCGGAAGTCATGGAAAACACGATTCCGGTGAGACTGGTACATGCGCGAATGGATGAAGAAGCATGAGAAGCCAAGCTCTGTAATTTTCTTGGCAAGCAACTCCACGCGCGTCACGGAGTTGCAGAAAATGATTGCCTGATTAATCTGCAACTTGGCAAATAAGGTGTTGAGGCAGTGAACCTTCTGGCGCTCCTCCACAAAAGCATAGTACTGGGACACGCCCTTGAGGGTAAGCTCGTCCATCAAATTGATCTCATGCGCCTCGGCCATAAATCGATTCTTGAAGTCCAAGATGGTCATCGGGAACGTGGCCGAGTACATCAGGATTTGCCTCTCTTGAGGCAGGAACTTGATGAGGTCCTCAATGATAGGCTGGAACTCGGGGCAGAGAAGCTTGTCAGCCTCATCCATGGCAATCATGTGGCACTGCTTCAAGTTGCACACATTCTTGTTGGCAAGGTCGAGAACACGACCTGGGGTAGCCACCACTACATGGACCTCATTGTACAAACGCATAATGTCCTCTCGAAGGCTTGTGCCGCCTGTTGAGACCATGCATTGGACATTCATGTGTTTTCCAATTTCCTTCACCACTGACGACGTCTGCAAGGCCAACTCTCTCGTAGGGACGAGGATGAGACCCTGGATTGCATTCTTGGTTGTGTTGCACTTCTCAAGGATCGGGATCACAAATGCTCCCGTCTTTCCTGTACCGTTCTTTGCTCTGGCCAAGATTGACTTGCCGGCCAGAGCCACCGGCAAGCTCTCTTCCTGAATAGGGGATGGCTTCTCATAGCCCATCTCAAAGATCCCCATCAGCAGCTCACGTTTCCTTGCAAGAAGGGCATCATTGCATCATCAGCATGCCCCTGTGACTAAATCTGACTAAGTCTGACTATACAAGTGACGCACAAACAATTCCTGCTGGGTTAGGCGGTTAGACTTTACCATCTTCATCCATCTTGAACTGTTGCAGCTGAGGTACAGGAAGTAGTCTTCAAAGTCATTGCCCTTTGTGTTCGTGACATCCTCCGTTCTGAATCGCTCGTCTGGAGGTGGGCGGCGGATGTGCGCTTTCCAGTCCTCAGCCCCACCAGATTCCACAATTTGTCATGCTCAACACGACTCAAGCAGACTCAAGCAGACTCAAGACGACTCAAGCAGACTCAAGCAGACTCAAGACGACTCAGACTCAAGCAGACTCAAGACAACTCAAGCAGACAGCAGACTCAAGCAGACTCAAGCAGACTCAAGCAGACTCAAGCAGACTCAAGCAGACTCAAGCAGACTCAAGCAGACTCAAGCAGACTCAAGCAGACTCAAGACAACTCAAGCAGAAGCAGACTCAAGCAGACTCAAGCAGACTCAAGCAGACTCAAGACAACTCAAGCAGACTCAAGCAGACTCAAGCAGACTCAAGCAGACTCAAGCAGACTCAAGCAGACTCAAGCAGACTCAAGCAGACTCAAGCACTTGAGACTGCTCCACACAGACATATCTAGCATGCTCGTGTGCTCGCAAGTTCATGCAAAACTTGATGCCTCTTTGATGTAAGACGCACATTGCACACAAGTCTTCAATGAACCATCGATCTTCCGTAGCATTTGCAGTGGTCTTTCCATATCTTTCCATATCTGCTGATACTTTTCCAAAGTGCAAACAAATAGAATCATACACTATCACACGAATTATACATTTATAAATTAGATATCTTCATATATCTTCGGAACTGCTTGTACGATGCAGCGAAGCTACATCATCATCAGTCTTTGCTGGTTGCTCAGCCTGAGGAGGCACCTCAGGATTCATCTTGACACGAAGATATTTGAAGCATTTTGAAGCAAATCCATTTCACGAAGCTTCACAAAGTGTATCAAAGTGTGTGTTGCCAACCGAAGATTACGATAATTGAAACACAACGGAAACGGCGAGAGTCCTGCATGTCACTGGACTTGGACTCTCATTTCATCAACTCTCATGGACTCTGATGGACTCTGATGGACTCTCAAAAAATCAGCACTTTGCCAAGGCATGGGCATGCCGCTGTGGAAGCGGTTCGGTATTCACACCTCGGCTCAAGGATCTCAAGGCAACGTAAGGAAACAGAGCAGGAAAATGCAGGAAACAACATTTGCAGAGCCAAACAGCCAAGTAAATCACTCCACACTGGCCGCTGTGATCTGCTGTGACATCTAAAAACACACGCCCGACTTCATGTGATTTCATGTATTCTGATTCATGTCATGTGACCCATGTAATACATATGGCTCATGTGACCCGCATGTTTCATGGCTGCTTGCCGTCTCGCCGTCTTGCCATGATTTCCGAAATGCTTGGGAATCATCTGAGGCCAAGTCCGATCTGCGGATACGCTCCTCGGCAAGCTGTTTCCACCGATGGTGCTGCACAAAATTAGATAATGATAATGTATAATGATGTCACACTGCAAGTGACTGGCAGCACAAAAACCCTTCTTTGTCCCAAGGGTCCCATGCCAGCTTTTCCCTTGCCGGTAGGATACCCCATGGCTGAACACAAGACCAAAATCCGGGGTTGATGGCTCAATAGCTCACGGCTGCGGCCAGCAAGGTCAGTGAGGAAGGAAAGGACACTTGCGATGTGTTCTGTCTAAGATGTTTAAGGACATCTGACACATCTGCCACAACACATCTACACATCCCTACCCAACAGCTGAACAGACTCAACAGTGGAATCACGTTTTTTTCGTTTTCCTTCAACCTAGTCCTGGCAGCTCACAGCCTTCTGACATCTTCTGACAGTGGCAAATCGGACTGTGGCAGTCTCGAATCAGCATTGACCACAGTGAAGTGAAGAAAGGAAACGAACAAGAAAGATTAGAAAAGAATGAAAAGATTAGAACCCAACCATAGTATCATGACAGGATCATGACTCTTGAAATGTCTTCAAACTTCAAATGTTTCTAATTGTTTCTATACACTTTGATTCGAGTTTCTATACACTTTTGATATCTTTTGATATCTTTTGTGTGTCCAAGGCCTGCCCCGATTTGATGTCCGATTTTCGGAGACCGGCCCCGCCCAGCGCCCGCAGCGCCCGCAGCGCCCGCAGCGCCGCGGGACACCGCTGTTTCTGGCGATCTTCTCACCGTGGTCGGACCGTGGTCGGACCGTGGTCGGACCGTGGTCGGACCGTCGTTACTCTGACGCCACAAACTCAGCTCACTTGGCCTTACGCGATCTTCACCCACACGTTGACTTTCCCATCTCCAGTGGCCACCTGCCCAAATCTGATCTACTGTCTTCATCTGTCTTCATCTGTCTTCTACATTCTAAATTCATTTGGCGATGCATCAACATTCACCGTGAATGCATAGAGTGCAGGGTGTGAAAAGGATGCAACAAAGGAGGAGGCACAAAAACTGCATAAAAATAAACTCAACCCAGTTGTGGCTGCTTCACCATGGACATGGACACGTAGCGTGAAAGGAAACTCGAAAAGCATCGAAAAGGACTTCTTCATCTTGACTCTTGACATATCTCGACTTTTTTCACTGCTCCTCTGAAATCCGAGCATTGAAACATGCCGTGAAGCTTCTTGTAAACTCCGCACTCCGCCAGCACTGCCAAGAGCCCAATGATGGCTCAATGATGGCTCAAAGTCTTCCCAGACCAAAGGGACTTGAAGTATCAAAATTAAACTTGGATACTGGAAGTCGACTCGAAGTCGACTCAAACTCCATAGAGCGAATGAATTTGCAGAAAGTGCCAGGCACACTTGAAAACAGATTTCAAAATTTTCACATAGAGTTTATGCATCTTGACATGTGCTGTGCAGCCCTCTATCAAAGGCATCCTCCACAGTTGACACAATTGTGAAGCAAGTCACCACGCAAGTCGAAATCTTTTAAACTTTGTCAGAACAAGAAGAGGCTAAAGAGGTGAAAAGAATGTTGCCAACAAGTCTAAGCGTCTAAGAAATGCCTGAACACGGCTGGCACTTTCTTGAAAAAGAAATACCGCCTGAAAGCAGAAACCCCAATCGCCTACATTTCTCATCTCTACCGCTGTCTACATCCTCAACTTGCACAGACGCTAAGCTTCAAGCTTAGATGTCAAATGCATTGGAGCCTACCAGGGCTAACAGCAGTTCTTTCTCAACATTCTCAGGTGTAGGTGGCCGGATCAATGGTTGGGGGAATAGGCTGGATCTCTGTGCCCAGCTCCTTCTCGATGCGGTACAGGTTGAAGCGGTCATCGTATGTGACAAAATTGATACCCAAGCCCAGGTGACCAAAGCGGCCAGAGCGGCCAATGCGGTGCAGGTAGGTCTCGGAGTTCTTGGGGAAATCGAAATTGATCACCACGTTCACACTCTGAATGTCAATGCCTCTGGTAAAAAGGTCCGAAGAGACCAAACATCTGCAAGCTCCGTTCCGGAAGTCATGGAAAACACGATTCCGGTGAGACTGGTACATGCGCGAATGGATGAAGAAGCATGAGAAGCCAAGCTCTGTAATTTTCTTGGCAAGCAACTCCACGCGCGTCACGGAGTTGCAGAAAATGATTGCCTGATTAATCTGCAACTTGGCAAATAAGGTGTTGAGGCAGTGAACCTTCTGGCGCTCCTCCACAAAAGCATAGTACTGGGACACGCCCTTGAGGGTAAGCTCGTCCATCAAATTGATCTCATGTGCCTCGGCCATAAATCGATTCTTGAAGTCCAAGATGGTCATCGGGAACGTGGCCGAGTACATCAGGATTTGCCTCTCTTGAGGCAGGAACTTGATGAGGTCCTCAATGATAGGCTGGAACTCGGGGCAGAGAAGCTTGTCAGCCTCATCCATGGCAATCATGTGGCACTGCTTCAAGTTGCACACATTCTTGTTGGCAAGGTCGAGAACACGACCTGGGGTAGCCACCACTACATGGACCTCATTGTACAAACGCATAATGTCCTCTCGAAGGCTTGTGCCGCCTGTTGAGACCATGCATTGGACATTCATGTGTTTGCCAATTTCCTTCACCACTGACGACGTCTGCAAGGCCAACTCTCTCGTAGGGACGAGGATGAGACCCTGGATTACATTCTTGGTTGTGTTGCACTTCTCAAGGATCGGGATCACAAATGCTCCCGTCTTTCCTGTACCGTTCTTTGCTCTGGCCAAGATTGACTTGCCGGCCAGAGCCACGGGCAAGCTCTCTTCCTGAATAGGGGATGGCTTCTCATAGCCCATCTCAAAGATCCCCATCAGCAGCTCACGTTTCCTTGCAAGAAGGGCATCATTGCATCATCAGCATGCCCCTGTGACTAAATCTAACTAAGTCTGACTATACAAGTGACGCACAAACAATTCCCGCTGGGTTAGGCGGTTAGACTTTACCATCTTCATCCATGTTGAACTGTTGCAGCTGAGGTACAGGAAGTAGTCTTCAAAGTCATTGCCCTTTGTGTTCGTGACATCCTCCGTTCTGAATCGCTCGTCTGGAGGTGGGCGGCGGATGTGCGCTTTCCAGTCCTCAGCCCCACCAGATTCCACAATTTGTCATGCTCAACACGACTCAAGCAGACTCAAGCAGACTCAAGACGACTCAAGCAGACTCAAGCAGACTCAAGACGACTCAAGACGGCTCAAGCAGACTCAAGACAACTCAAGCAGACAGCAGACTCAAGCAGACTCAAGCAGACTCAAGCAGACTCAAGCAGACTCAAGCAGACTCAGGACAACTCAAGCAGACTCAAGCAGACTCAAGCAGACTCAAGCAGACTCAAGACAACTCAAGCAGACAGCAGACTCAAGCAGACTCAAGCAGACTCAAGCAGACTCAAGACAACTCAAGCAGACTCAAGCAGACTCAAGCAGACTCAAGCAGACTCAAGCAGACTCAAGCAGACTCAAGCAGACTCAAGCAGACTCAAGCAGACTCAAGCAGACTCAAGCAGACTCAAGCAGACTCAAGCAGACTCAAGACAACTCAAGCAGACTCAAGCAGACTCAAGCAGACTCAAGCAGACTCAAGCAGACTCAAGCAGACTCAAGCAGACTCAAGCAGACTCAAGCACTTGAGACTGCTCCACACAGACATATCTAGCATGCTCGTGTGCTCGCAAGTTCATGCAAAACTTGATGCCTCTTTGATGTAAGACGCACATTGCACACAAGTCTTCAATGAACCATCGATCTTCCGTAGCATTTGCAGTGGTCTTTCCATATCTTTCCATATCTGCTGATACTTTTCCAAAGTGCAAACAAATAGAATCATACACTATCACACGAATTATACATTTATAAATTAGATATCTTCATATATCTTCGGAACTGCTTGTACGATGCAGCGAAGCTACATCATCATCAGTCTTTGCTGGTTGCTCAGCCTGAGGAGGCACCTCAGGATTCATCTTGACACGAAGATATTTGAAGCATTTTGAAGCAAATCCATTTCACGAAGCTTCACAAAGTGTATCAAAGTGTGTGTTGCCAACCGAAGATCACGATAATTGAAACACAACGGAAACGGCGAGAGTCCTGCATGTCACTGGACTTGGACTCTCGTTTCATCAACTCTCATCAACCCTCATGGACTCTGATGGACTCTCAAAAAATCAGCACTTTGCCAAGGCATGGGCATGCCGCTGTGGAAGCGGTTCGGTATTCACACCTCGGCTCAAGGATCTCAAGGCAACGTAAGGAAACAGAGCAGGAAAATGCAGGAAACAACATTTGCAGAGCCAAACAGCCAAGTAAATCACTCCACACTGGCCGCTGTGATCTGCTGTGACATCTAAAAACACACGCCCGACTTCATGTGATTTCATGTATTCTGATTCATGTCATGTGACCCATGTAATACATATGGCTCATGTGACCCGCATGTTTCATGGCTGCTTGCCGTCTCGCCGTCTTGCCATGATTTCCGAAATGCTTGGGAATCATCTGAGGCCAAGTCCGATCTGCGGATACGCTCCTCGGCAAGCTGTTTCCACCGATGGTGCTGCACAAAATTAGATAATGAATGATGTATAATGATGTCACACTGCAAGTGACTGGCAGCACAAAAACCCTTCTTTGTCCCAAGGGTCCCATGCCAGCTTTTCCCTTGCCGGTAGGATACCCCATGGCTGAACACAAGACCAAAATCCGGGGTTGATGGCTCAATAGCTCACGGCTGCGGCCAGCAAGGTCAGGCATTCAAGTATTTGACCGGAGCTGCATCACGAAGAGGTACAAGGACGCATACAGTATCCATACATCTCTTTCGCGCTCGTGGGAATGAAAAGAATCGCGTGTTCGAATGTCATGGAATGCCTATGGAAAACGCTTATGGAATGCAACTTCTGGACTTTAGGGCAACTTTTGGGCAACTCTTGGGCTTTCGGGTTTTCCCAATCACGTTGGAGTCGCACCTCGATGAACTTCCAGATTCTTCCAGGCTCCGTCACAAGGCGAATTCCGCGACTTCGGCGAATCCAAGTAAATCAAGCACCTTCTCCTGAGCTCTTGCGTTACTGTTAAGCAAATTTGAGCATTACAACATCTCAGTGTATCTCATTAACATCTCATCAACATCTCATTGGTTCCTTAAATCTTGATAAATCTTGCACCATCTGCCGCCTGGTTTAGAAAGTGTCTCTCCCCCATTTCTCCTTGGCGTCTGCGTGATTGCCATTGCTGCACTTCGCCCCTGGTACGCACACAACTTGAAAACGGCAAAACATGGGAACTCGAGGTGCTTAGTACACCTACCAGTAGTACCGCACAAGGCGGTGGCGGAAGTTTCAAAAATAGGAAACCTATAGAAGAGGTTGGTTGTTGTGAATCACGGATGGCAGGGCGAAGCCACTGATGGACCGAAAGGTGATTGATGTCTCCTCTCTTTCTCTCTCTTTCTCTGACTATCTACCTACCTACCTACCTATCTATCTACCTATGTATCTATCGATCTATCTATCTATCTACCTATCTTTCTATCTATCTATCTACCTAATCTAATCTGATCTGATCTAGTCTAATCTAATCTAATCTTATCTTATCTAATCTAACCTAATCTATCT